TTTTTTATTCCCATGTATGAGCGCACATATGTATGTTATTAATACGATTTTTGAAAATCAAAATACTTTAAGATTGAAAATTCATAAATTAAAATGAGATTCCACTCTTTACCAGTATTGTGCACACTGTGGCATTTTTCAATAAGAAAAGTTCTTACTTTTATAACATAAACAAAACAGTAGAATTAATAATTGCAGAAATTAATTAATAATGATTTTCCTCGATTGTTTTGAGATAACCGTATCAATTTGTTATGACGAACTAAATAGAACTAACTAGAAACAAAGGAAAAGTGATACCGTTTGCCAGTTTAATACAAAGTATGGGTTGGATCTTAAATTTTAAAAGGACATAGTCGAATATTTTTAAAGGTACAAAACATAGCGTTTCATTGTAGAACAGTAACATGAGTTAGCAGGTAATGTCATAAAACTGTTTTTCCCAGCTATATCCCTTTTTACCTGAAGTATAAGGTAAAAAGTACGAGTTACAAGGTACGACTATCCGAAAATCGTTCACATTTTATCAATGTAAATGAAGCGGCCTTTCCATCAGAGTTAAATACAAAATTTTGTAATTTCAGTGAAAACAGAACTTTCAGTAGATGTAGGTGGTGCTTGAAATTGTTATGTTTTCACTGTTTTTACGAAAAGTACCATCCAGATTCATGTACTTCATACATTGAAAATAACATATGTTAAATGTAATTGGTTAAATTCAACTTTAAAAAAAAATATTCGAAGGTCAGACAAAAATATAATGTCACATTTAGTGTACGATTAAAATATGATTGAAAAAATAAAAAAAAAGATTTGTTTTGGCAGGGTTCGAACCTGCAGAGCAGAAGAAGCTCGGAACTTGCAGCAAATACCTTATCATTCACGCCACGCTGTTTGTTGAATTTATTTCTATTTCTGAAGATAAGTATCTGTAATAACTTTAATAATATCTCAAAGTAAAACCTAACCCAAAATCGGGTACCATTCCAACTTTTCCTTGTTAGAACCGAGTTTTCAATTTGTCTTAGCGAAAATCGTAATCACATTTTGCACATTATTCTAAAACATTTGTGGTATTCGTTTTCAATGCGATTTAAGTAAGCATGTAATGTATAAGATTTCATTTAATTTTTTCTTTTCTAGAGAAGATAGAGAAAAAGTTTATATAATTTTTTTTATATGTAAGGCGTCGGGAAAAGGCGAGACCCAAGCCGAGGCGCTGGCAAGGGACCGCGTCTGGCCTTCGTCCGTCAACACTCCCACCCCTACCGATGGGGGAGAAGGCTGACGGCAAAGGCTCATTCGTTTTTCCGACGCTGAAAGAACGGGAATAAAGCATGTATACGAATACCCTGCGTATTTCTTAATTCCTAATTCCATTCTACGCGTCTGTCTAACATATATAAAATTTAATTCGTCCTAAGATTTATATGAAACATTTAAAAGATTTTTTATACATTATGCCTATACATATATCGGAACAACTATGAAACAAGAGGTATAATCATTATTATCCATGGACTGATTATAGTCAAAGTCTAACCGGACTTTGAAATGAGAACATAAAACTTAAATGTAAAGTTTCATTTAAATTCATTTAGCTATTTATACTCAATCGTAATAATAATATACATATGTGTGCTCATACATGGTAATAAAAAAAAATTTCTTTTTTTTCAATAATTAAAATATGACCAGGAGGTCTTAAAACGTGTTGTAGGCTCCCACAAGGTTCGTGGAGCCGTTTTATTGAGGAAATAGACAGTTCAATACTATTTACCAATACTTGAATTTATTTACAATATGTACATATGTGTTAACAGTTTTTCAATGTTCTTGGTTCAATTTTAATCCTTAGTTCGATTCTAATTTGCAAAGGTTCTTGAGGTATTCTAACTGTTCTGAATGTTCTGAATGTTCTAATGTTCTGAATGTTCTGAATGTTCTAATGTTCTGAATGTTCTAATGTTCTGAATGTTCTAATGTTCTGAATGTTCTGAATGTTCTAATGTTCTGAATGTTCTAATGTTCTGAATGTTCTAATTGAAGAGTCCTATGCCCCGCGAATATATAAGGATTCCCAAATAGGTGGAGACATTTGGTATCCAATCAAGCCCCTGTCCATCCCTCGAGGGCCAGTCCTCAGATATTCGAAATCCCGCCCACTAAGGGTGGTACAGGGGTGGATGTCCGCGGTCCCAAGAGGCAGGTATGGTCCCAAGGTACGGTGCTTAACGGCTTAATAGTACGGCAATTTGCTTTGTACCCTAAGGTACTTGCCAAATTGCTACTCAAGTAATTTAACTAATTTTAACTAAATAAGGGGTCCGCTGCTAAGTGTTGGAATTCCCAACATTCCGCCCACTTTGAACTGCTCGCATGTTCAACTACAATGTACGATATGCAATACAATTATTTGAGTTGGCTAATAATCAATTGACGTGAATCTATCCAGATACGTCAGTACTTAAATTAAAGGTTACATAATTATAATAATAGAGTTCTATGATTATACAATTAAATACATCTATAGAGATATGTGCGTGTACAGTACTAAATATTAAAATGCAATAGAACTCTATTCTTGTCCCGGTACTGTGTCGTTATCAGTGTCTATAGGTAAGATACAAATTTTTGTTACTGGGCGTTTTACAATCCCATCGGAGACCTTAACTGATACGACTCTTGTAATCGTATCTTTCCCTGGATGAAGTTCGGTGATCCGTCCCATTCTCCATTTCAGTGGTGGACAATTATCCTCCTTCACAACAACCAATGTCCCTGGTGCGAGCGGAGAGGGGGATGCTGTCTGCCACTTGGTCCGTTGTTGTAATTGGTGGAGATATTCTGTGTTCCATCGCTGCCAAAAATGCTGTAACATTCTTTGAATGTGCTGGTAGCGATTAAGTCGATTTTCTGGGATGTGTCGAATATCAGGGCCAGGGAGCGCATTCAACGTGTCACCAATAAGGAAATGTCCAGGTGTCAATGGAGATAGATCAGTAGGATCGTCGGATAAAGGATATAGGGGTCGGGAGTTCAAACATGCCTCTACTTGTGTTAACAGCGTATACAATTCTTCGTACGTAAGTTTCGTATCACCGATAACGCGCTTCAAATGGAATTTCGTGGCCTTTACTGCTCCTTCCCATAGTCCACCAAAATGAGGAGCGCGAGGCGGAATTAAGTGCCATTCAATTTGATTATCACTTAAAATTTTGGTTACCCGTTCATTGTGTTTACTGTCCCTTAAAAGTGTGCCTAATTCGAGAAGTTCGTTGCGCGCGCCGATGAAATTGGTTCCATTGTCGGAGTATACAGGGTGTCCCAAAGATGTTGCGGGTCCTTAAAGGGGGTGATTCGGGAGATGATTGCAAACAACTTTTTCCTTTGTGAAAATGCTCTCCGGGGTTTCGTTAACGAGATATTAACAAAAAGCACCGACCAATCAGATCGCGCGCTTTCCGCCCGAGCTCCCATGCTAGCATGGCTACGCGCCGTGCTAGCGTGGCTACGCGCCGCGCTGCGACTTGTGAACAAGCAACTCGGCATGCAACGAGGAAAATTGCGTAGAATGGCAAATGAAAAAGGCGTAGCAAATAAAATCGAACACGTTGTCATGGTTTGTTTGTTATTTAAAGTGAATGATGAATAAAGGATAAATAGATGAAAATCACGTGTAACGTAAAAAGACGAATACACATTTTTTTTAGAGGATTCGAAAATAATAGTTATTTGAAGTGGGAGGATATGGAATACGTAAAATTCCTTGTGTCAATAACGTATCCACGAAAAGGAAATTAACGAAAAGTGATCGTAGTTCGTTATTGTGATATAAATCCGTAATTTAATAACGACCAGCACTGTTGCTGATAACGAATAAGTCTGTTTAAAAAGCCCGGATAAATATTTTCGTACGAGAATTTTAAGAATTATTGCCGGAAACAAGCCATAGCTTGCGTTAAATTTAAAAATGAATGATTACCAATAAACTGACTAAAACTCACCCTTGTCGAAAATGCACCTGTAACTTGAAAACTTGTGTCACTGGGTCACTGAACCGATCCTGGTCATCGATGGACGAGCCCAGTGCACAGCTGATCCCAGGTATACGACACTACCCAAAGTTAAGGGTCGCAATGTCAGGTGCGTCCAGGTCAACGTATCGAATATTCACTTCACGTTTTCGTTAATTTCCTTTTCGTGGATACGTTATTGACACAAGGAATTTTACGTATTCCATATCCTCCCACTTCAAATAACTATTATTTTCGAATCCTCTAAAAAAAATGTGTATTCGTCTTTTTACGTTACACGTGATTTTCATCTATTTATCCTTTATTCATCATTCACTTTAAATAACAAACAAACCATGACAACGTGTTCGATTTTATTTGCTACGCCTTTTTCATTTGCCATTCTACGCAATTTTCCTCGTTGCATGCCGAGTTGCTTGTTCACAAGTCGCAGCGCGGCGCGTAGCCACGCTAGCACGGCGCGTAGCCATGCTAGCATGGGAGCTCGGGCGGAAAGCGCGCGATCTGATTGGTCGGTGCTTTTTGTTAATATCTCGTTAACGAAACCCCGGAGAGCATTTTCACAAAGGAAAAAGTTGTTTGCAATCATCCCCCGAATCACCCCCTTTAAGGACCCGCAACATCTTTGGGACACCCTGTAGACTGCGGCATAGTCCTCGGCGGGAAATAAATCGTCGCAAGACATTTAAGAATGCATCGGTACTTAAATCTATAGCTAGCTCTAAATGAATTGCCTTTGTCACGAAACAGACAAAATACACAAGTAGGCCTTCGATGTGACCCTCGTACGTATTTTTTCCTTTATGAATACCGGGCCTGCATAATCCACGCCGCATACAGAAAATGGGCGCGTTGGGATAATTCGTACGGCAGGTAAATTCCCCATCAGGTATTCTTGAGTCACGGGTTTAGTCCTGAAGCATCGAACGCAATTTCGTATTGTGTTTTTTATAAGAATTTTACCTGAAAGCGGCCAATATCGTCTGCGTAACGACGATAGAGTCGCTTGACAGCCTGCGTGCAATAACCTTAAATGTTCATGTGCGACTAGAAGTTTTGTAAGATGATGTTTCGATGGCAGTATGACGGGATGTCGTTGATTAAAGGGAAGCTGGGCTTCTTTCAATCTACCGCCCACCCTGATCAGTCCAGTTTCATCAATAAATGGATTCAAAGATCGTAGTGTACTGGATTTTGGGAGCGCTTGCCCAGTCCTTAATTTCTTAAGTTCCTCCAGAAAACAATCTGATTGTGTAATTTGAAGAAGACGGATTTCGATATCTTTCAATTCCTTTACTGAAAGGTAACCCGTGTGTACACTGGTAGTATCTTCTGACCTATTCACTACCTTGATGCGATTATGAATACGGATTCTTACGTTTTTTACAAACCGTAGACAATATGTGATCGTGCGTAGGAGTCGCGTGAATGAAGAAAATCGTTCGAATAAATGTTCCTTTTTTACTGCAATGAATGCACACTGTACTTCGTTAACGTCTGGTGTTTCAGTTGTATGTGGTTCTATTGCTGGCCAGGTGGCTGTGTCCCTTTCTAGCCATGAAGGTCCGTTCCACCAAAGGGTTGCCGAAACAAGTGACGAAGGGTTGACTCCACGCGATATGATGTCCGCAGGATTTTCCTTTGATTGCACATACATCCAAATTCCGCGAGATAGTTCCTGGATTTCGGACGTCCTGTTGGCCACGAATGTCTTCCATTTACTGGGTGATGATTTGAGCCATGCAAGCGTGATCGTAGAATCACACCAGTAGTACTCGTCGCAGGATAATCGTAACGCTTGCCGCACCTTTCTTGTAAGTCGTGCCAGCAGTACTGCTCCACATAGTTCTAATCTTGGGAGAGTGATTACCTTTAATGGAGCTACGCGTGATTTTGCACATATTAACTTAGTGGTCCATTGTCCGTTGTTGAACGTCCGCAGATAAAGACAGGCTCCGTAGGCCTTCTGGGACGCGTCACAAAACCCATGCAATTCAATTTTCTCAGCTTCTGCAGCTAATACATGACGAGGAATAATAATGTTATTTATTGACCCAAGTTCCTCGCGAAATGTTGTCCATCGTGAATGGAGATGTTGGGGCAATGATTCATCCCAGGAAACTTGTAGCTGCCATAGTTCTTGTAATAATATTTTGGCTTGAATAGTAGCTGGCCCAATCAGTCCGAGGGGGTCAAAAATCTGGGAAATGTCCGATAATATTGTTCGTTTTGTGACACGATGTTCAAATGGTTTTTGCACTAAGAATCGCAGTATGTCCATCTGCGATTCCCAGAGAAGTCCGAGCGTTTTTATCTCCTTGTCGGATGTAATGTGTACGTGGGATTGTATTCCATCCGATGGATTCAAAATACGCGACTCGTTCGTTGCCCATTTCCGGAGTTCAAAACCCGATGTTGCCAGGATAGATGATACGTCATTTTTTAATTTGATCGCTTCTTCTAAACAGTCCGTGCCAGTCAAAAGATCGTCTACGTAGAAATCTTCCAAGATTATACGACTGGCGGCTGGAGAATCTTCTGCATAAATTTCTCCAATGCATTGCAAGGTTCTGGTCGCCAGGAAAGGTGCGGATGTTGTCCCATACGTCACAGTATTTAATTCATACGTTTTAATTGGCAAGGTACTATTTTCTCGCCATACTATTTTTTGGAAGCGACGATCTTCCTTACGTACGCGTATTTGGCGATACATTTTCGCGATATCTGCTGACAGAACATACCGATGTTTGCGGAAACGTAATAAAATTGACAGTAGATCCTCTTGTACCACTGGCCCAGCCATCTGTACATCGTTCAGGGATAGTCCAGATGTAGTTTTTGCGGATCCATCAAAAACTACGCGCAATTTTGTGGTGCTGCTGCTCTCCTTTATGATGGCGTGATGCGGTAAATAGAATCCATCTTCACGTTGCTCCTCGTTTAGTTCCGTCATGTGTCCAAGTTCTTCATATTCCCTCATAAAGGCAATATATTCTTGTTGAATCTGCGGTTGTTTGGTCAACCTTCGTTCCAATGCAAGTAGTCGGCGTTCTGCTTGTTGTCTCGAATGTCCTAGTCCGTTGATCTCTTCCTTGAAGGGAATTGCAACCACGTGTCGTCCGTCGTTATCCCGAGTTGAAGTTGACAGGAAATGTTTCTCGCAATAATGATTTTTGTCGATGAGACGTCCTTCATCAATACATTGTTCAATTTTCCAGAAATCCGCTACTTGATTATGTAACTGTTGATTCGTTACAACATGGCACGTGGTTCGTGTTTGTGTTGTAAGATGTGCGCGAGTCATATTACCAATGATAATCCACCCGAGCTGTGTCTTTTGTAATGATGGGTAGTTCGGACCTAAAGAGTGGCGTCCGATGCACAATAGGTCCCAAAACATACCTGCTCCGATAATCATATCGATTTCCCCGGGTTGATGGAAATGGGGGTCCGCGAGCATGATATGTGCAGGAATCGGTAAATCAGATAAGTCGATGTGTGTGCTTGGAATATTTCCGGTTATTTTCGGTAATAATAGACATGAAATTGATGTGGTGAATCCATTGAATCTTGATGTTAATTTTACGCATGATTGATATTGTAAGTTACGTGCTAAATTTCCTATTCCCGAAACTCTAATGTTCGTTGTACTACACGGAAGTCCTAGTTTTTTAATCAGCGCGTCAGTGATGAAGTGAGACTGAGATCCTGAGTCTAACAATACTCGACATTTCTGCCTATGTCCCTTACAATCATTTATACAGGGTGAGGCATTTTAAACAGGTCACCTGAATAACTCGCTTGTTTTTGAAGATAGGAGAAAATGCATTAGACCAAACTTATTTGGTATCGGGGGGCTCATAATCTGGTATTACCAATTTTTTTGTAGGTGGAGGCGTCAAGGAGATATGAAGGTCAACTTTGTTTTTTTAAATGGAACAGTATATTTTATTACTTACATTCTGATAGAGTGTTTCAAGGCGAATACAATGACCTATTATTAAGGTCATTCAAGGTCACCCAAAGTCAACTGCAATAGAAAATAAATTGTGTCAGAGTACATTTCGAATACTTGTGTATCACGTGTGTGTATTGCGTGACACGGGTCACAAAAGATAAACAAACATTCAATCACATTGTACGCTTATCCGTATCCTCAAACATTATTGGTAATTTTACTACCGACTAGAGCACAGCTTCGTAACATTTATTCAGTCTAAGTGTTTAGTTTTCTAAAATGCGTTACACGATAGCAGAGAAAGTAGAAATGGTTCTTATTTATGGTGAATGTCATAGAATTATGAGGGAAGCGGTACGTGTGTATAGTGAAAGATTTCCCGATCGTAATAATAGACCTTCACTTTCTGTCTTTACAAACATTATAAAAAAGTTCCAAGAAACTGGAACTGTGGATAACAAAACACGTAATCTTGCCAAACGAGCAACTGATGATGGAAACTCGATAAATATTGTAGCAGCTGTAATACAAGATCCACATGTTAGTACAAGACAACTGGAACGCGAAAGTGGCATCAGTCAACGAAGTATTTTACGAATATTACACATTAACAAATTTCATCCGTTCCACATATCACTTCATCAACAATTAACTGAAAATGATTATACAAAACGTTTACAATTTTGTGAATGGGGCTTACAAAAACTACAAGACGATGAAATGTTCTTGAGTAAATTGTTATTTACCGATGAGGCCACATTTACAAACCATGGAGCAATTAACCGTCACAACATGCACTACTGGTCGGTAGATAATCCACGATGGTTGAGAGAAGTCGACAAACAGAGACCTTGGTCTGTAAACGTCTGGTGCGGTCTTCTTCATAATAAAATAATTGGTCCATATTTTATTGATGGCACGCTAAATAGTAGTAAGTACCTGAGAATCTTAGAAGACGTTTTGCCAGAATTGTTAGAAGACACTTCACTGGACATACGACAATCCATGTGGTTCCAGCAAGACGGATGCCCTGCTCATTCAGCACGCAATGTTACAGAATTTCTAAATAGAAAATTTGGAGATTCTTGGGTAGGTCGATCAGGAAGTAACAAATGGCCGGCACGATCCCCAGACCTGACACCTCTCGATTTTTATTTGTGGGGAAAATTAAAGGCAGAAGTGTACCGCGAAAAACCAACTACCAAACTTGACATGCAAGAACGTATAAGAAGAGCTTGCTCTGTAATAGATACAAATGAAATTTGCCAGGCAGTGTCATCAGTATTGCAACGATTTAGACTATGTATCCATGTTCAAGGTCGCCATTTTGAACACTTGTAATAGCAGTATCAAAGTATCCAAGTGTTCGAAGAGTGCTTTGACACAATTTATTTTCTATTGCAGTTGACTTTGGGTGACCTTGAATGACCTTAATAATAGGTCATTGTATTCGCCTTGAAACACTCTATCAGAATGTAAGTAATAAAATATACTGTTCCATTTAAAAAAACAAAGTTGACCTTCATATCTCCTTGACGCCTCCACCTACAAAAAAATTGGTAATACCAGATTATGAGCCCCCCGATACCAAATAAGTTTGGTCTAATGCATTTTCTCCTATCTTCAAAAACAAGCGAGTTATTCAGGTGACCTGTTTAAAATGCCTCACCCTGTATATACTACCGCAGTGGATAACATTGTACAATTGTCCCTTGAATGTGAAATGTACGTATGTGAAGTGATTTGTTCTTTAGGACGGTTCGTGTCAGTGTCCGTATTTACATTTTGTGTTTGTTTGTGCGAGAGTGAAACATTGGTCGATACTGATGGTTTATGTGCACCACTGTCTAAATGTAAGAGGGTGTGATGCCTTTTTGAGCATTTCCTACATCCTCCACGCGAACATTCCATATTTCTATGTCCTTGTTGGAGACAATTAAAGCATGCACGCAATTCCTGAATCCTCGAAATACGATCGCCCGGAGATAATTTTAAAAACTGAGTGCAATTATACAACGGGTGCTCAGCCTTGCAAAGTATACATTCTGTCCGCGTGTTCGCAACGTGTGCTGCTACATTCTTAAACCGAGTGTTTCGTGTTTCATTAATTATTGCAATCTTATTCGACGGTACTACCTAGGCCTTTGCAGTTTTTTCAAGGTATTTACAATGCTTCTCTAAAAAGTCGGTCATATCCCGCAATGTAACATCACTCGCAATGTTCGATTGTTTTTGTTCCCACTCACGTATCGTTACAGTGTCTAACTTCGTCGTTAATAAATATATAATTAGACTATCCCAATGTTCTGTTGGTTCTCCTAATGCATTAAGTGCGAGTAAACTATTTTTCATATCATCGAGTAACCGCCGAAGTCCCGAGTAAGATTCTTTCGTTAATACAGGCAAGTCCCATAATGTACGGATGTGGTCGTGCTTGATTGTATTGCGATCCTCGAATCTGTCCTTTAACGCTTTCCATGCAAGACCGTAATTTAATTCAGAAACTCCTAACGATTGTATTACGCGAGCTGCGTCGCCCTTTAACGAGGAATTTAAATAATGAAATTTTTCAATATTACCTAGAGCTTTATTGTTATGGATTAATGATTCGAATGTGTCCTTGAATTTTAACCACAAACTGTACGTCCCATCGAACGTAGGTAATTCTATCGTAGGCAATTTGACACGAAATTGAGGTTCAGTTCCCGAAGACGAGGTACTTTGTTTTGACATGTTCGTGTGCGCAAATTTTTGTACTCGCGTTTGTGCAATATAATCCTTTGCTGCGGCAACTATATTACAATACGAAGTTTCAAATGATTCTCGTTCGTTCGCGTTCTTTTCTTCGAGATCGGTTCCTTCTACGATATCTTCTATTAACGATTGTATCCCATCAAATTTTTCATACAATTGCGAAATTTTTCCCAAATGAATTTCCAGTGCTGTTACCGAAGTTGAGCGGTCGGATGATTCAAAAAATTTCTTAAAACGAGTCAAGGCAGTCTTCACCTTCGTACGGTCCGAAATGTGCGTTTTCAAGATTGGGTCCATAATTGCTACTGTTAACACAATTCGAGAAATGCAAGAATGACTTACGGATTAGATGAGTAAATAAGGAGGTGATCAGTGAATGCTTCCCAGATCAGCTTCCTCGATGTCCGTTGTGGATTCTGCAACGCCGTTCCAAGTCCTGTAGTCCGTCAGGGCCTAGCGTCTCTCAAATGGATCAGCGTCGGCTACGTGGAAGTCGAAAGCGTAGAATTCCTTGATGTCCGTCCGTGGTGTTTCGATACAAACACGATGTCCTTATTGTTCGATTTATCGTCCACAATTGTTCACAAATACTGTACACATTAAACACTGTATCCGGCTCGAAGGACCATATGTAGGCTCCCACAAGGTTCGTGGAGCCGTTTTATTGAGGAAATAGACAGTTCAATACTATTTACCAATACTTGAATTTATTTACAATATGTACATATGTGTTAACAGTTTTTCAATGTTCTTGGTTCAATTTTAATCCTTAGTTCGATTCTAATTTGCAAAGGTTCTTGAGGTATTCTAACTGTTCTGAATGTTCTGAATGTTCTAATGTTCTGAATGTTCTAATGTTCTGAATGTTCTGAATGTTCTAATGTTCTGAATGTTCTAATGTTCTGAATGTTCTAATGTTCTGAATGTTCTGAATGTTCTAATGTTCTGAATGTTCTAATGTTCTGAATGTTCTAATGTTCTGAATGTTCTAATTGAAGAGTCCTATGCCCCGCGAATATATAAGGATTCCCAAATAGGTGGAGACATTTGGTATCCAATCAAGCCCCTGTCCATCCCTCGTGGGCCAGTCCTCAGATATTCGAAATCCCGCCCACTAAGGGTGGTACAGGGGTGGATGTCCGCGGTCCCAAGAGGCAGGTATGGTCCCAAGGTACGGTGCTTAACGGCTTAATAGTACGGCAATTTGCTTTGTACCTAAGGTACTTGCCAAATTGCTACTCAAGTAATTTAACTAATTTTAACTAAATAAGGGGTCCGCTGCTAAGTGTTGGAATTCCCAACACGTGTATTTCCGTAAAATAAATTTTACAAAATTTTTTTTTCATTATGGGTACTTTGCTTATGTGCGCCTACATAGGTCGGAAAGTAAAAATGCCTGGGCAGTCGAGAATCTCGGCTTGAGAATCCAAATCGTATGCCGTTGACTGGAGGTTGGATTTCAGTTGTTAAGAGCGAGAAGGCAAATATGAGCCTTTCTCTCTCGACTCCCACGAAGCGGTCCGAAATTACTTCGGGCAGCTTCGGAGAATCGAGAAAGAAGGCATGCGTCAGTTTGCCTTTGTCGTCTTTCC